TACTATGGGAGAGAACAAACTAGATTCCAATGGAAAAAGAAATTAAGAAGAAGCGCTAGATGTGGATAGGACAGAGATTGAGGAAGGCACCGAACTGCGTCAGAAGACAAATCCTCACTTGGAATCTTTAAGGCCAAAGGAAAAGAGGAAGACCAATCGTGGGTAACAGGCTTAAGTAAGTGAATAAGTAGCTAAGTAAGTAAGTAAGTACGTAATTTTTAAATGAGTCAGAAATACTGAAAACAATATATTTTTATTTTCAGAAGTAAGTTTTGTGGAGAATTCAGTGATTTAAACTGCTGAGACTATAAGTTAATTGAAGCTAGACCACCGTGAAAAACCCGGAAGCACTGGACGGATGGTGGATGTATCTCTCAACTACGTGGATTAGTCGAAGTTAGACATTAACACCGTTGGATGCCGGCCGACTCTGTTGTCTAGGGGTTAATTGCTCGCGCGCGAAATCCATAGGTCCTATGTTCGAGTCGTGTGTGTGCGCTACTGAGGAGCCCTATACTAGGACGAAACGGCCTTCCAGTGCTTTCAGGTTTTCCATGGTGGTTTAGCTTCAATTGACTTATGATCTCAATAACTGAAGTATTTTTATTACGATATTATGAATCATTTCTAGTAATAACAAGATCCATTTTATTAATTACATTGTAATAAACATACTGTGCAACCTGTTGTACAGAAATATTTTTAAATGAGAACTTTCGTCTAAATTTGATTGAAATAGATATGCATTATTTGGATGTCGAGTTGATGTGTGATATTAAAGAGGAAAAAATGTTGTATTTGTAAAATCTCAACAAATGGATTTGAAGTAAACCCAACATTTCACCTGACAATTTAGTTCAAGATATTTCAAGGAAATATAATCAAAACATGAAATTTATCGAATATGATTGGATTATATTTCCTTGAAAATCTTTGAACTAGGTTGCCAGGTGTCACGTTGAATCTACATTAAATTTCTTCGTTAAGATTTTACATTCTATCTCTTTAAGAAATATTTCTATTCTTAATTTTTATTCTCTGAAGAAGTGACTTACAATAAGTTACGAAACATCAGGAAATCTAATTTTTCTACTCATTTGGCTATTACAAATAGATTACTTTTATTTATATTTTTAATGTATATATATATATATATATATATTTATATTAACGAAACTGGTGAGCCCTATTGAGCACAATTTAACCTAGTTTTTGTTAATAATACTATTCTATTTGACTTAGTAGTAAAAGTAGACCTTCTGATTATCCGTAAACTAAGTCGGGTATATATATAGTTTATTTTTTATCTTAAGGTATTCGTGTTGTAGTAACCATTTTTCGTGCAAATTTTATTACTATATTGGTCACATCTCATGTCAGACTCAATACAAACCAAAAACCTGGAGGATTTGTCACCAGTGGAGATAGACACTTTTATGAATACGAAATATTGACTTCCAGAATTTGATCGTAGTGATCCAGAGTTATGGTTTGCTCAACTAGAGACACAATATCAAATCTGAAGGAATTCTCTATAGAGACTTATGTTAAATCATTCCTCATTCAGTCGCCAAAGAAGTTCGTGACTTGATTTTAAGTTCACCATCACTACAATCATACACCATTTTAAGTCGAGAGATAATGAACCGTTTATCATTATCAGGCAGTCAAATAATCTAACGGCTTTTTCAAGGAGAAACACTAGGTGATAGGTGGCCGTCACAGTTTTTGCGTCACCTTCAAGTCTTGATGGGTGATAACACAGTGGGTGAAGCAGTACTATAACAAGGATGGATACAAGCTCTCCCATGCTACGTCCAACGCTGTCACTGAGCGAAGACCAAAAAATAAAAACCTATTCACTACTTGTCTGGTATCTGCTATCAATAGCACGAGGGTTATATTACCAATATATATATATATATTGGTAATATTCGGATTGTATTCATCCGAGTAAAATGTGCAAGTTATTTCAACATTGTAAACTACAGGTTTTCATTTTAAAGATTGAACACTTTCTTCTTTATTCGTATCTTCGTATATTCTGAGAAATATGTAAACTATACATGTAACCATGTTAGAATTTGAATCTAAACTAGTGATAAGGTGAATATTAAAGCTTAGTGTTATTAACAAGTGAATCATTACACAAAATATTGATTTCCAGATAAATGTTAAAAGAACGATTGTAAATGAACTGCGGATATGAGGAGTACAAATAATAAAAGTGTGAGAAACTGTTCACTGATATAGGGGAAGGGGAGGTGTTATAAGTAATAAAAATGTAAACCCTAGTTTTAATGTTATTCTATTTTGATTATAAAGATAGTTTTGCACAATACCATATCTTTATAGATACAAATAAAGAATATTCAATTGTTGGATTAATGAGTCATTTGAAGTTAGATCACCATGGGAAACCTCGAAGCATTGGATGACCGTTTTGTCTTAGTATGAGACTTCTCAACAGTGCTCATCTACGATTTCGCCCTCCGAGATTCGAACCCAGGACCTATCACTTTCGTGCTCGAACATTTAACCACCAAGTATATTTGTACTCATTTGTGAGTATTTTTGTGACTCTGCATCTGACTCCAGTTTGATCAGTCAAAATGTCATGAACATAAATATTGCATTTTAACTTTATCTATCACGTAGATTAACCTCATTTGTATGATAGTAGTAATAAGAAGCCAAATAAGGATTGAATTGGATGGACTTTATTTCAAGCACTTGTTTATTAAGACAGACATTCAGAATGAAAAGGTAGGAAGCAAAAGGAAATAGAGTAAGCGAGTAAGTCAACTCGATTTGATCGAGCATGACTTGATATTCATGGTCAGATAAAAGTAACTTAGAGACACGTAATGAATAAGGTAAGCATTACACACACATATGCTCATATCAAAATAATTAAGGTTAGTAGGCGAATAACTGAATAGGTCAAAATGTGACTTGAAAAGAATGAATAAATCGGTATGTATGGAAGTTATAATAATCCATAGTACTGGACACTACGGCATATACTCTCATATGAATGTTCATATTTTGGTTTATTAGCTTATAGATCAATCAGTCCACTAGCAATGACGAAAATGACACTCATGCATATAAAAAAATCAGTATATCACATTACAATTTCTACGATAAATACCAAAATGATAGTAGTAATAATATTGGTGTTAGTATAGAATACAATATACCATAGGTTTTATGTCTCTAAATTTTTGTAATTTCGGTCATTCCACAGTAAAAATTCATCTAGTATTACTTACTAAAATCTTCACATTGATGCTTAAAACTGAGATTGATTCGTCTCTTATTGTCATATGTGCATACTATACGGATTTCTTCGATATTGTTCTATATCACAAGTATTATAAGCAAAGATGAATAATGGCTAGCAGTGGAATTCAGGACGCGCATTTCTTCCTATTGGGAACTCATCAGTTGAAGGTACATGCATCTCAGACTTGATGTTCGCCCTGGGACTCGAACCCAGCACCGTTCACTTCAAACGTCATCGCGTTGTCTACTTAGCTACTGAATTCTGTATTCTATTGCTAGTCACTATTCATGTTTGCTTGTTATGCTTATGACTTAAGGCAATATTGAGGCAGCCCACACAATATGTAATTATGTCAATAAAAGGCTGATCAATTACAGTTCTAAACATCAATGGGAAGATTAAAGTAAATAATACCAAATGAATTTAAACTTCTCCTCATTGCACAAGTAAGTCGCTATCAGGAGTAATTAGTTAAGTGGATAACGCGATGTCGTTTTAAGCGAACGGTACTGAGTTAGAGTCCAAGATTGTACATCAACTCTGAAATACAAGTACATCTAACTGTTGAGTCTCGAATTGAAGGAAACGCGTGTCCTTATATTTGACTCCTAGGCAATGTCAATCTTTGCTTATAATCCACAAATATAGTTTTCATATTAGTTTGATCTTTCATAAACTCAAAATATATGTTACAATTTATACGTTGGAGGACTAATATCTAGCCTTTAATTAAATTACAAAATTTATTTTCTTTATATATATATATATATATATATATATATATATATATATATATATAGAGAGAGAGAGAGAGAGAGAGAGAGAGAGAGAGAGGAGGAATAGGGAGAGGGAGGGGAGAGCGAGCACGGTCTGTACACAGCATTACGTGACATATTCAATAAATGTATTTAAGCAAATGAAGTTCACTTCCTTTCTTTGTTTATGATGAATAAAAGTTTAGAAATTACGGCTTCATGTTTGCTATGCTGGTTCTAATGGTGTTTATATATATATATGCTGCCAATTAGGGAACAGTGACTTATCAATCGAATCAATAATAGCAGTCTAGAATACCGATTAATCCTGTTTTCCACCTAGCCAAGTCAATGAAGTCCAGAACATCAATCTCAACCTCTGCAATATGAATCATAATCTTATTGTTTACCTTAATCTGAATGAATTATGACAATTACAAAAAGAACTGATCTTCCTATTATCACTTTTCACATATTGTCAGATGATACGTTCACATAGAACCTTCTCTAATTATTCAACTAATTCTCATTCTCTTTTTTCTTCTTTTTTTTTGCTCTCAGATTTATTTATTTATAAAAGTTTTTCACTTGACCTCACTTTATTTTTGCATCACTAAGATACATATTTTTCTTTTTTTCTTTCCTCTTCTCTTTTTTTTAGAAAAAGATTTATTATTTTTGGCACCGTATTATTATTCGATTAAATGATAAGTGATCTCATGTGTAAAGATTGTGTTCTTTTCCTTCTTTTTTATTTTTTTCGTTTTAATTTTATTTTTCTTTCTTAACTATTTATACTACTTAAATAACTGTGAAAGATAATTCATTTTCTCTTTATTCTCATTGGTTATTCATTATTAACCAATCATATTACACTTATTTCATCATTTAATAAATCATTATCACTATATATATATTCATGGGTAAAGTGGATATATATTTCACTTGTACATAAATGGTATTTCACTATTAACCTATTTATTTATATTAAAAGATGAATAATTTTTCATTATCATTACTTAGAAATAATGATCTAACTACTAAAACTACTTATATGAATATTAGTAGTTCTCATCTATATGATAATTATACTTATTCATGTATTGATCATTATCAATGGTTAGAATTATTTCATCAATATTATCAACGTATACATGTTTATTTATGTTTAATATTATGTCCAATTGGTGTTATAGCTAATACATTAAATGTAATTGTATTATGTCAAACACGTTTACGTAATCCAACAAATTTATTATTAACTGTATTAGCTGTTAGTGATGGTTTTGTAATGTTTATTTATATTATATTTGATTATTTTTATTTAATGACACCAAGATTAATTATTGGTATGTCGAAATCATATGCTCAATTATTATTAATTAATATTGTATTACAAAATTTATTTCATACATTCTCTGCATGGATTATAGTTGCTGTAGCTATATTTCGTTTAATTTATATTAAAACTGGTGTTCGAGCTGCTATTTATTGTAATATGTTTAAAGCATGGATTGTTATTATCATAGTATTAATTAGTTCTATATTATTAACTATACCATTTATGATTGCACATCAAGTACGTATTAAAACAAATGATCATTTATTATTGATCAATTATCAGAATATAATCAATAATCAATCAGATACAATTAGATTCAATCATTCTAATAATATAATTAATAATCAATCAGATACAATGATATTATATGAAGTTGATTATACAACTAATATAAATTTAAGAATAATATTATTTTGGAATTCAGCTATACTTGTTAAAGCATTACCAATATTAATTATGACAACAGTAAGTACAGCATTAATATTATCTATAAGAGAATCAGAGAAACGTTATCGTATATTAAGAAGATATCATCATTGTAAAAATTTTCAAATGACAATAGAAACTACACGGGTTGAAAGTTTTATTCATAATAATAATAATAATAATAATAATAATAATAATAATAATAATAATGAGGATAATGATAAATCAATGACAGTACAACGTTCAAAACACAAATCCAGTTCACATCCTGAAACGTATTCTGGTGGACGTAGTGCAAATCAAACTACATATATGTTACTTACTATTATTATGTTATATATATTTACATATTTACCACAAGTAAGTTTAGAGATTTATTTAAACTATATACTATTTAATAGTTACTTACTTACGCCTGTTACTCCAAATGGAGCATAAGTCAGCGATCAGCATTCTCCAACCCACTCTAGACTGGGCCTTTTTTTCTACTACCATTCAATTCTTGTTTATTTTTCTCATATCTATCTCCTATTTAATAGTTATGTATCCATAAAACCCTTTTGATATGAATCAACATATACTCACTAGTGACTAGATTCAAGAGGTATATACTGGAGTTCTAATAAGAAGCAGTGATTAGTGGAGTCCAACCAGGTCTGTTGTGAGATAGTAACTCACTGATGACATTAGTGAATGTGTCGGTCAATTTCGTGGGTTAATTGAAGTTAGACATTAGCACCATTGGATGACGGCTGACTCAGTGGTCTAGTGGTTATGCGCTCGCACACGAGACTTATAGATCTTGAGTTGGAATCTTGAGAGGTGAGATCGTGAGTGTGCACTACTGAGGAGTCTTAGAATAGGACGAAATGTCCGTCGAGTGCTTTGAGGTTTTCCATAGTTGTCTAGCTTCAAATGACTCATGATCACAACCACTGATGTTATATTATAACTAGATTGATATCTCAGTCGTTGAGATTATGAGTTAATTCAAGGTAGACTATTATGGAAATCGTCGAAGTACTGGAAGATTGTTTTGTTTTATTGTGTGACTCCTTAAGTTTAAATGACTCATGATCTCAACTATTGAAATCACTATAATTTTCACAAAACTCTTTGTGATTGAATGATATGATTGTACAAACAGTCTGTTTTTTTTACTATTTTTTTATTTGTATAATACACAATCTCTCAATTTTGGGGAATTTTAGGGTCTTCCCCAAAGTTCAATAGGTTTCTTTAAAGTTTTGGGGAGATTTTGGGATTTTTGTGCTATTTCTCCAAAATTTTCTATAACGGCATCACTAAATAAAGTCAATTAAGATGAAACTCTAGGAAAGAAAACTGTACTATACTATACTAAACTTTTCATCATTTACTTTCTTCAACTTATTATAATACTATAATTTTGTCAAGTGTTCAGTTATCAGTTAGCGGAAAAAGATAAAAAAACATAACTTTTGAGATGATGGAGTAGATATGCAACTCCGAATGATGATTTAGATGGAGTTTTGTTCTCTGAGCTGGATGGTTAAACTCTACTTCAAGTTTGTTCTGATGATATTGTTCAGAACAACATATAAAGCTCCAAGACCAAATTACCCATCTCAAAGAACAAAACTCTACTCTAGAAAAATAACTTAAATATAAATAATCAATTTATTCAAATATCAAGATTGAGTTAGTTGTCAATCCCGTGATTATGTTGCCCGATAAATCAAATATTAGATGATTCTTAAGTGTATTATGATTATTATGATGAATGGCCTTATTCAATATTAGATGTTTCGTATAAAATACAATTCTCAGAACACAGTATTTCAACAAGCTACCTTTGCCTATTTCTTGATTGATAGAAGTTTTGGAAATTACATCTGAATAATGTTAATTTGGTGCGATTATAATTTATGGACGACGTTTGAGGGATGCTACACTGATCTTGAGAGTATCCACCTGATAACTTGGACCAAATGAAGATTAAAATCCGTGTGGTTGTCTAGTTTCAATTGACTCATAACCTCAACTATTGAAATACTAATATTACTTAAATAAAAATGAGGTGATTACAATTAATTCAAAATAATGTTTCAGATTAATAGAAAGTCAAATAGAATATCAACAGTTGACAACGTCAATTATGTAATATTGCTGAAAAATATCTAAGTTATCAATGGAATTTTGTCCTCATGTGGTATGTACTACTTATCTCTATATAAGTAGTATATAATGCTAGTCAGGAATAGAATGTCTGCCAGTAGAAAGTCGAGAAGATCGTGAAGGAATGAATGTAAACAAAAAGTAATTGGTATGGAAACAATGAAGTCTGAGACGATTGATCAATATTCACGAAAGGAACATTTAAGTTTGAGATAATTGATCGACGTTTTAGAAAAATAAGTATACACTGTATAGTTCTCAAATTTTCACTAGGATGTTCTATAATTTTTTGTCTTTGAAAACGATCAGTTGTTCTCACTTACATTCTCATATTCATGATAATTTGCCGACTATTCCCTTCTGAATGTAAATGTTAATTTGGAGAAGAATTCATGTGAACTAGATTTGTAGATCTTTACAAAATCATGTTCTTTCATAGATAAATAATTTTGAGTGACTTTAAGATATCAGCAGTATTACTATAATTAATTAAGTAGTATTCGACTGAACTGTTAAAAGCATTGGCTCACAGAAGTAATATATCTCTTTTTTTCAAATGTATACTGTATAATGTTTTCATAAGATTGTGAATGTTCATTGACTGAGATGGTTGGGCTACGTGTTACGTATGCCTAAACACCGATTACCACGGTGTGCAATGGTGATTAGGGTTGTGGATGGTTCGAAGAGAGTTAGGGGCGGCTAAGCCAGAACGTGGCATCAGTCCATAAAATCACCAACTTCTAGTTTTAGCCATGTTGGTAGATGTAGACTGCTTGGTTGGGATACGCTTAATTATCGTAACCAATAGTTGGAGACTGTGGGTGACTTCGTTCAAAATCGATCACAATGGCGTAGGTGTATACACTTTCTGTCTTCCCTTAAATTGTGAGATTAAAATTAGTTTATGCTTTTCTTTCTGTATTATATATATAATATACAAAACCCCCTACTGATACTAATCAATATATGCTCAAAAGTGACCGGATTCTAGTGAGAAGCAGTGACCAGTGGAGTCCAACTAGGTCTGTTGTGAGATACTAATTTATTGATGACAATTTTGAACGTGTCGCTCAATTACATGAATTAGTTTAAGTTAGACATTAACACCGTTGGATACTCGCCGACTCAGTGGTCTAGTAGTTAAGCGCTCGCACACGAAACTGATGGATCCTGGGTTGGAATCTCGCGATGTGGGATAGTGGATGTGCACTAGTGAAGAGTCTTAGAGTAAGACGAAACGGCCGTCGAGTGCTTCGAGGTTTTCTCTGATTGTCTAGCTTCAATTGACTCATGATCTCAACTATTTGAATATACTCATAAGAAGTAGGATATCTCAGGCTTACTTCAACTACTAATTAAAATATAGTTCTGAAACAGTAACATAATTCAGAAAAAAACAATCTGTGTATGTAATGAATATTTGTATAACTAATGAATTAGTTAACTACAAGGAAACGTAATCTAGAAGAAGCAAAACGTACTGAAGTGTGTTTTCCTTTTTTATGAATCACATAAATCAATTGAAAAACGTGAACAAACGACTTTTTTTAAAACAGGAATAAACATAAATCTCATGAATTTCTCATTCAAGTTGAAATATTCACAATAGATTTATAGAGTTATTACCGTTCATTGACCATATTTTACCTAAATTTAACTACAATACTTTTTCCCATGAATATCATTCATCAGTGAACGAGAATACAAGTAGGAATTAATCGTCTGTATCAGAACATAAAATTACACAACCTCTCAAATAAAAATGTCCATTCATTGTCTCAGACTTCATTGTTCGTTCTTTTGTTTTGCATATCAATTACTTTATGTTTCCATTCTTTCCTTCTCGATCTTCTTGACATTCTGTTGGCAGACATTCTATTCCCAACTAGCATTGTATACTACTTATGTTGATCTAAGTAACACACATGCTACAATATTGCCATTCATTTTGTCTCAGAACATATTATTAAGAGACATCATAACAGTGAATAAAAACGGAATAAGAACAAAGGTTCGTGCAAAATAATATGAATTCATTTTATTTCGTTGGGTGCTCATCAGCTGTTTGCAACCTAAAATATTTGAAATTCAACGTTATTATAGATTTTGACATACTTATACATCAGAGGGTGATGAAGGATGAAGTGTTTGAGATCAAACGGACTAGAAGCATTCGGCAGTGTCATTGAAAGACATCTCCTTGACACAGGACACGAAGTCGATATATTAAAGTCCTTCAAGGTGATCAACAAACAATCAAATTCAAACCTTTTGAAATTTGCCGATAGCAATCAAACGTTTAAAACCAGATCTTTGTATACAAAAAGAAACAGTAATAAATCTTTCTTTGCCCTAGTAACATTACCCCCCCTTTTATTTATTACGTCATTCCAACTCTTTCTGAATTTTAAAATTACATCATTCATAACTGACCAATTTCAATTCAGATCTCTCTTTATTAACATTAATCTATTTTCAGTTACTTCATTACATAATCGTCTAATGTGTTTTTAATCCCATGATTTCTAATCACTATTTCGATGTTCTGGAACCTTCCCTCCCAAACTCTATATATTCGAAACAAAATTTTATGACCTCATTAACTCTAACGGAATCTTTGCTACATCTTGATCCTTCATCACTCTCTGATGTATAAGTATGTCAATATCTGTAATAACGTTGAATTTCAAATATTTTAGGTTGTAAATAGCTGATGAGAACCTAACGAAATAAAATGAATCCATTTATTATTCTGCATCAATCTTCGTCCATGCTCTCTTTAAGATAATAAAGGGAAGTAAGTGTAAAAATGGAATAGATTACATAACTAAACATATTAAGTGAGAAGTACAAATTGTTAATTTAATGACAAGTGTACTAGTTGTGATATGTAAAAGGCTTTAATCAATGTTACATGATGGATAACAGATCAATGCTTAGAAGAAAATATAGACACTGAAATGACAATCATAGAAAATCATTAGATTACGTAATAAGATGTGCATATCAATATTACTGTAAGATGAAAAGACATTTGATCCAAGTTGATTTTGCCTGCATTATTCTCTGTAATATTGTTGAGATTTATCTTAACTACGTTATTGTAAAACAGGAAATATCATTTAGTTACTATGCATTTTTAAATCCAATAAAGTACAACAGTTTATAACGTGTGAATTGTAGTATCAACTGAGATGGTG